CTTCATCCTCTGACATGGGAGCTGGCTCAGAGCTCGTCTGTCTGGCTGTGTGTTTCCTAGATGGGTTCCCCTTTTACAGTTGCTTTTTGTATCTCTGCTTCTGTCTCCTTGAACCCCAGTCGGCCTCAGCAGATGGCCGCTCACTGTCCACTGTCACTACAAGCATGCTTAGTGTGAGGGATTACATTTGAGTTAATGAGTCCATGCAATCAATTGGTTTTCCTTAGATAGAAAACTTTGAATCAATTTGACTGTATGGTCTCGTGAACTGTAAAGCACCTTAAGATAACATGTGATGTGAATATGTGCTATATAAATAAACTGAATTGAATTGAATTCATATCAAATATAAATTACTAACATTTAAAGAATTTGTGCAGAATAAAACATAGGTAAATTGGATGAGTTTATGTTTCCATAATTGCTGTGTCAAAAACTGAACTCAATTTGATACACTGATTAATTATATTAATTACACTGATTATCTCCAGGTGAATTGTGGAAAGTTTGGACATATCAAGGTAGGCTATATCATTGTTAGAAGAGTTTGATTGATTGATTGATTTTATCTCTTTTTATTCTTATTTTTTATCTTTATTATATTGTATAGTTGGATGTGTGTATATATCATATAAAACTGTAACTGTAACACAAGTAATTTTATTAAAGTATTTCTGATTCTGATTCTGATTGATTGTGGTGTCTGAGTCCTTTTGTCTCACGGTCCTCTGCAGCCTTTGTTAGCTGTCAACAATGGAATGCCATCACTAAAGTAGGTGTGGACCTAATGGAGAAGAGGCCTATCTAAAGCATGTAGGGGGCACACACCAGAAACATAAAACAAAAAACATGGCAGTGGTTAATTCTTTGATATATTATGTGAGATGTACCTAAGAGCCAGTTGAGGCTTTGGAGACCCCAGATATAACAGATACTGTAGAAAGATTTTCTTTTGGAATGTCTGTGGCTGATACTTAGATGTGAAACCAACCTTAACCACTGATCTTATCTACCTCTGCAAAAGTCTAACAAACCGCCACTTTCAATGCTCTCAACCTTTCATTTGTCAAAGAAGGTGTTATCTTGTCCAGTTAAAAAAAGTTTTCCTATAAAACAGCAATCAGTGCTCCCCTAATACTGTGGTTCGAAAAGGCAACACCTTATTTTTTTAGAATTGTGGAAAGAAAACTGTAAAGCTAAAAAAAAAAAAAAAAAAGATCCAAGAGACAATTTAATGACAGTTTCTGTGTCTGTGCATAATAATTGTACAGGGGCCATAACAGGGGCCAGGACCACTTCTACTGGCCCCTGCTGGCCCCTGTCTAGACCTATAGGTGGGCTGATCAATCCTAGTATCAATAATACCAACCCTTCCCCCTCATTGCAGTTTTACACCATCACATTGGTCAGCCAAACAGCAATATCCTCTGTTTTTTTTTTTTTTTTTTTTTATCGTTGTAAAATTTTGTTTTAAAAAGCTTTAAAATTTCTGTTTGTCTATGTTCTATTGTTTACTTGTAATATTAAAGTAAAAATCAGAAAAACACTGAAAGGTCAGCAGTTTTATTAAACACCAGGCTTAAAGGAATAGTACACCCAAAACATGATTAGCCTTCATTTTCTACTCACCCCCATGCTGAACAACACTCTGGAGTACTTTTTTGATATCTCAAATGCATCTGGAGATCTGGGAGGCTTCTTGCTGTCTGCTGACATTCAAATAATGGAGGTCCATGGTGCCCGAGACAGAAAGGTCCATAAAAGTCCACAAAAAACGTGTCAATATTCCTCCATACTGCTCGTCCAATGTATTCCAAGTGTCCTGATTGGGTAGCGTCCATAATTTACTCGAAACGAAGTCATTTAGAATGTTTTTAGAGCATAAACAGTAGTGTATAGGATTTCCTGAAAGCGAGTTCATGACGCTACGGAAACCACGGCAGACCAAACCAGATGAAAGCGCGCATTCAGCTCGGCAAAGAATCATGCTCTTCCTCAACACTGAAGTCCTCAGACATTTTTCTTTCGTTGTTTCTTTCTTTGCACAGGTAAACAGCACATTTCTTCTTCTACGCTTGCATTATCGGCAGAGCAGACGCTGAATGCGCACTTTCGTCTGGTTTGGTCTGCCGCGGTTTCCGTAGACTCGTGAACGCGCTTTTAGGAAATCCTATACACTACTGTTTATGCTCTAAAAACATTCTAAATGAGTTTGTTTCGAGTAAATTCTGGATGCTACCCACTCAGGACACTTGGAATACATTGGACGAGCAGTATGGAGGAATATTGACACGTTTTTTGTGGACTTTTATGGACCTTTCTGCCTCGGGCACCACAGACCTCCATTATTTGAATGTCAGCAGACAGCAAGAAGCCTCCCAGATCTCCAGATGCATTTGAGATATCAAAAAAGTACTCCAGAGTGTTGTTCAGCATGGGGGTGAGTAGAAAATGAAGGCTAATCATGTTTTGGGTGTACTATTCCTTTAAGTATAAGCATCAGTCTCAAAATTGGCGATACTGACTCTCTATTTAACTCAGTTAAGTTCAATTTGGGTGATTTATATAGCGCCAATTCGCAACACCTGTCTTATCTCAAGGCAATTTACAATTCACCAGATCATACAGTCAAATTGATTCAAAGTTTTCTATCCAAGGAAAACCACTTGATTGACACATTGACACACTAAGCATGCCTGTAGCAACAGTGGAGAGGAACAACTCCCTTTTAACAGGAAGAGACCTCCAGCAGAACCAGGCACAGTGTGAGAATAAAGAGAAGCTATGATAGGAGAGATATGATCTCTCTTTTTAATTTTCATCAGAACTCTGGCTGCTGCATTTTGGATCAGCAGAAGGCTTTTAACTACAGTTTGTGGACTTCCTGATAGTAAAGAATTACAATAGTCCAACCTTGAGGTAAAAAATGCATGGACTAGTACTTGGTATCAGATCAATACCAAAATCCCTGGTATTGCCCACCTCTAGAACCGCCAAAAGTTAGTAGGAACACATCTAAATAGTACAGAATAAAAGCTCACAATGACTCGAGTTTGATATTAATAGCATATATTAATGTTTTATTGTGTTATCATTTTTTTTTTTTTTTTTACATTTTTATTTATTATAATTTTTATTCCTTTTTTTTTTCTCAGTGTCCTTTCTGGCAATGTGACAATAAGAATAATTGTCTTGATGCCAAAAAAAGAAAAAAAAGGACACAACAGATTTTACTTTCACAAGTGGAGAAGTACGGCTATCGCCACAGTGTTCTGCTTGATTTCTACATATAAATAGCTTTATTATAAATATGCAGGGAGTTTTTACACATTATATGGACACTGCAATGTAAGTAAAACAGGAAAAAGGAGAAAAGATGAAAGAAAGAGGAGATAAACAGTCAGACGTCTTCTGTCTGCTTCATCACCTGCAAAGAGATGTAAAAAGAACAGCGCAACCAACTGATTTAGTATATCCGGTGTTTTTTTTTTTTTTTTTTCCTTTTCCTAAGAGTGACGTCAACATAGATTATGGTTGCATTGTTTTTGATTCAGCTGCTAGTTCATCTTTAAAAAGGTTGGACATAATTCAGGCTCAAGCGTTGAGAATATGTTGTGGAGCAGTAAAATCAACTCCAATATCTGCGCTTCAGGTGGAGGTTGGAGAAATGCCATTAAGCCTTAGAAGGAAACAGTTGAGGGCAAATTATTGGACTAATTTACAAAGTCAAAAAGAAATGCATCCAACAAAAAGAATATTAAGTGAAAGTTGGGAAAGCAGTAAAATTAAACAGGAGGTATTTAGTAAGGGAATTATTCAGATAATCAAGGAGTTAGAAATCAATAATTGGGACGTTAGTCTAACTGTCTTAATGCCAGCTATACCATCATGGTTACTACCTCAACCTAATGTTGATCTTTCTTTATTAAAGAAGATAAATTCAAGAAATAACATGTTTAGTATACAAACTTATGTGAACACTTTGATTCATGAGAGATATGGGTATTATGTACATATATTCACTGATGGGTCAAAAAATCCAGAGAATGGAAAAACAAGTTGTGCATTTTACATTCCTGAATTAAAAGTTAAGGTGTTTAAAAGATTAACTGATCATTTGTCGGTTTATACAGCAGAATTGATGGCAATCATGTTGGCATTATACTGGATAGAGGAAGTCAAACCCCTGAGAATATTAATATGTTCAGATTCAAGTGCAGCATTGACTAGTCTTAAAAATACGGTATCTAAATGTAGGGAGGATATTATGCTAGAAAATTTGTTATCATTATACCGAGTACATAATCTGGGGATTGATGTTCAGTTTTTATGGATTCCAGCACATAGTGGCATTAAAGGGAATGAGATGGCAGATTCGTTAGCTAAGAAGGGGTTGTCGATAAATGAGGTAGAAGTAAAAGTACCAATTAGCAAAACAGAAATCAAATCGTACATACGAAGCAAAATTAAGGTACAGTGGCAAAAATTATGGGATAATGGAAATAAAAGAAGACATTTATATAGGATACAGCAAAAGGTGGGAGAAGAAGAGCCTCTTGGGAAGAGCAGGAGAGAACAGGGGATGTTTAGTAGAATTAGGTTAGGCCACACGAGGCTAAATGCATCACTGCATGTTATTGGGAAGCATCCAACAGGAAAATGTGACATGTGTAGTCTACCAGAAACCATAGAACATGTGCTGTTTGAGTGTATTAAATATGCAAGTCAAAGAATAGATTTAAGGAAAGGACTGGAACATGAAGGAATCAAACAACTGGACATTAAAAATATCTTCTCAAATAAATCCAGAAAGACAGTACTTAAAATCATGTCATCTTATCTTCAACAAACTGGACTAAACCTAAGGATTTAAGGAAATATAAATAAGAACAAGTAGGTGGCGATAATGCTCCATTTGGTTGCAAGTCGCCAATAAAACAAGAAGAAGAAGAAGAAGAGTGACGTCAACATTTGCAGGCAAAATTTCCGAGCTGTCTTTGAACGCAGCATTAATCGCAGCGCTATGGGACGAGTTGGATAATGAGTGATCTGCTGACTGGTTGGGATTTTCTGATGAGCTGAAAGGATCCCGCTGAGTTATGATGGTCTATGAGCGGCAGGTAGGGAGGCTGAGCGGCTCTTCGCCTTTCTGGGGATGCTTTTAGTTTTAATTTCACTCCCTTTGAGTCTCAGATAACATGTTAAAGACCCATTTTTTCCCTCCTGACGTGGTAGATCTTCCGCAACTCGGGCGCAGAGACAATGACAGCGCTGTGTTTTAACCGTGCGCTGGAATAGAGACTGAAAACCTGAAAAGAGCAGCAGGAAAGTTTCCCCTGAAGACAGAAACCCAAAATGTTTGAAGCCTCAGGAATCCCACTCATCTTCCTAGATGTTATTTGCATCATCCTCGGTAGGTGAAACCTTTTCCTTACTTGTTTTTCCAACAGAAAGAGCTGAAATAAAGACAGAAAAAATTAAGATTTTTTTTTTAATGCTCAGAATAAATTTAGATGTTTCCAGACAGGAAGATGGAAAAGTCCCACCCTGTTTTAGTTCTCCTCCCAATCCCTCTCAGATCTGGATTTTCAGCTGCCTGTGTTAATATAATCACAGCAAAGGGAACTAGTTGGAAGGATAAAACAAACAGGCCTTTGCAGATAGTGATTTGGTCTTTGTTTAATCAGACTTGGACTGCAGAGCTCCAAGAAGCTTTCCCTGAGGATATTCCTCAGTGCTTACTCACTGTCTGGTGGTTGGCATGGCTGCTGACTGTTCACTGTTCCTAATTTTTTCCATAGGTTGACTCCAGTTGCTTCCCTATTTCATCTGCCCTAAGCTTAGATAACAGGGCATGTTGTTATGCTTTAGGTACTAATTTAGACTCTTGTAAAATACTGAAGCTGTTGTATTTTCCTGCTGTTACCACCTCAAACTGTAATCTATTTTACTGAGATTTTGAGACCAACACACACACACACAGCTTTGTTTTCATGACATATGGGGACATTTCATTGACTTGCATTCATTTTATATGGCCTAACCCAGACCCTTACCCTAACCCTAACTATTACCAAGATCTACCTAATCCTAACCTAAACTGAATTCACACCTTAGTCCTAAACCTAACCCCAACTCAAAGAACAGAACTCTACCATATAGGGACCAGTTGAATGTCCGCATATGTACCTGTAAGTCCTCGCATGTAGGATATTTTTCAAAATACTTCCCTCACATTGTAGGTAAAACAAGACCACACACACACACATACATGCACACACACACACGTATATAACATATTTGCTATTGCAGTGATTCAAGAATATTTTATTAAAAGGTCAAATTTGCAACTCTAAACCACTTTTATGTTTTTCAACTCAGAGCAACATGGATCTTTGGATTTGAAGGTTGCAGACCCCTGGGCTAATTTTATGTTTGAAACTATGGCCGTCCACCTATAGATGACAGCTTTATTTCAGAGAGACAGCTTAGAACCCCGTGGTAACTGTGGTTGAGCTGCAGATATCCACAGCTCAGGTGGAAGAATCGGTTTGCAGTGGCAAGAAGAAAGGGAAAAGAAGTCATGTCAGTGGATTGTCACAAGCTTGTTGGGGTCAAACACGATGTTGGTGGCATCATGCTGAGCTGCTACAATGGAAGCGTTAAGCACTGTATATATTTTTTGGCTATTTGAGCTGATGTAACAAGAACATTTCTCCACTGTGAGATCAATAAATTGATAAATTGACTGAGTTGGAGCTATCTTACATTTGGGTCTATAGGTTTTTTTTTTAAACTATTAGTTCAGGGATACTAACAATGCATTTCATAATTAAAATGCATATACTGATATAAGAAAGTCCTGTAAATCATGTTCATTTTTACAATTATTAATGATTTTCTTCTGGTCTATCATATATTTTAGTCTTTTGCTAATGGAAGGGAGTGTGTTTAAAGATGGTAGCAGTTATGCAGTGTTTGTAGTTGCAGCCATCATCTAAGTCATGAGACGCCACACCGCTTTACTTTCTTTTGCTCAATGAGTTTAATTTCTTCTCATTTATTTATTTAGTTGGCATCAAATCTAAGGAGAAAAGGAAAAGGTTGCTCTTTCTCAAATCTAACAGACCTGTATGTAGCAGGGCATTCTATTTTTCCTAAGGTTTGTGATGAATGTGTCACCACCTGTATTGTGTTGGGTAGAGGACAGCATAAATATCTTTGTTTGAACTGTAAAGGCAAGTGACCTATATTGAGTGATCTTTGTTTATCTTATCAAAAAGGGCGTCGCCACAGAGCGGAGACACAATCACTGCCGAGCTGGGAGCTAATACACAGTGAGCCTTTTATTCCAGACAGATCTTTACTCTGAGCACTAATGAAGTGGCTGCACCTCCTTGTTTATAAACAAATCTGCCTCCTGTAGTTTTTTTTAAGGATGCATACAGTGGGGGTGCTGATATGGCGTGGAGGTAGAGTGCATGACCGATATACCAGCTGTTGCAGGTTTAAGTCCCAGCCTTGCTGACCTTTGCTGTATGTCTCTCCCCTCAATTTGAACCTAAAAATAATCTTAAAAAAAAAGAATGCATACAGTAGGTCTACTGAAGTTCCTAATAACTTTTACAGTTTTCTTTTATGGAGCTAGGATTTCCTGTATTAAGGTTCTTAAAACTCCTCTTCAGTCCATTTAGCTGTTTTATTTAAACACTTTTATTTTAAGAAGCTGAACTTTGACAATTAAACCATTTGGGCTCTATAGGAGACTAAACTTAGTAGATGAACCAGAGTTATCTCCAAATAACTAGGACCATGGACATAATATTTCCCCTGCACTTTTTCAAACATACATTTTGGCCCCCTGCAGGTTTTACTGTTCAAAAAAAATGTTACGCTAAAGTACACAGACATTCCTCAAGCACTAGGACCAAGCGGAAATCCGCAGCGCAAGCTGAAGCCCACTTCCAAGAGTTAAGACCGCCCATAAGCTCCTGATTGGCCCACCGTCTTTTTTTTTTTTTTATGTGATTGACTGTCAAACACGCTGAAGTTAGTTATATTATTTAAAAAATTGCTTTCCCCCCACTTCTGAAATCAAAATTTCATCCAGGAGGCACACAGTGATTATGGAAAAAAACATTTTGTGCCACAGAGCTCATAAACGGGCTGATTTTTAAGCTAAAAATACTACAAATCAACCAATTTTAAGAGGTATTTTGACCCCAACAAGTTGATTCCCAAAGAGCTAGAAGGTTTTTGGTTGTGTTTTACAGCAATAATGGGTGACGACTTAAGGTGCAGCATATTGCGTGTATTAGAAGAAGCTGATCATCTTAACGTTTTGATTACGGCTGCAACTAACAACTATTTAAATAATGGATTAATCTGTGAAGTATTTTTTCAATGAATCAATTAATAATCAGATAGCCAAAGGTTCCTTAAAAAAAACATTTTACAAAATTAAACCAGGTGAAACTAAAAGTTTTTCACTTGAGGAGTTCTGAATAGAGCATACTGATGGACAATAAAGTTTTTTTTTATCCTAAATGCAAAATATTTAATTTTAAATCTTGGTATAATTACTGCTCTAAGTGAGTTATTCTTTCAGCTAAAGGCATATTTTACTGTCTCTATATTCCAGTTAACAATTAATCATTTTCGAAATTAGTTGAAAATTATCAAAATAACTGATTAATCCGATTAATTGTTTCAGCCCTAGTTAGATCTAGTGTTGATTAGGGGCATTTATTGTATCATTTATTATTATCGTTGTACATTTCTAGTCATTATAACAATTTTGATTTATTGTCCAAAAAATGTTTTTGCCCTGGCCTTCAACACAAATTTGTGTTATTCTAATTATTCTATTTTTTATATGACATTGACAAAATATAAATAAGAATTAGTCACGATAAAAAAAAAGGGTGATATTTCCAATTTTAGCATTGGGAACTTTGAAGAATATGTTTCTACTATGGGATGTTTACTGATATAAATCACGCTTTTTTATGAAACAAGTGTCCTGAAGAAGCCTATTTTAAATTAGTGTATTTCATCAAGAGTTCTGTTTATAATCATGGGGCTCCGATTACTTCAAAGAATTAATGAAGAGTGTTTTTATCGTTATCACAAAATATTGCGATAAGATTTCAAGGCCATATCGACCAACCAGTTGATCTTTGTGATGTCAAAAGTTAGAACAATAAAAAAGAAAATCATCCTTATTCTTTTATTCATTAACCAGTAAAAAGAATAATAAGCTAAACGCATTATGTCTAATAGGTTATTTAAAAAAAATGGCTCAGATATTTCTTTAAGAGGAATTTTTTTCAGCAGGAGGAATATTTCTCTAATTGTCAGGTGTGAGAGATTCAGTCTTTTAGTCAGTGGTATTCATGTGTCATCATGTTTTGGACGCCTCCAAACCAACGTTTTCTTTTCATGTCAAAGGAATTTAATTTCCAATTTGTCAGAGGGATGGAGTACAGGCCATTGGCTGCAGCATCACAGAGGCCCTCAGGGCTGTAACACGATCAGAGGGTGTGAGCAGCAAAAACAAACCCTGCTACCTGTATGTGGAGGGTAATGACAATGCTCTGCCTCAGAGGACATCTTGCTTCATTCTTCAGCCCACATATAATATTTCATTCTTTGTGTAGGCGGTTCTCGGCAGATGAAACAAACGAGCACAAGCGTTTGGTGACCTGTACTTCCTGTTTGTCAGCAAAAGACTGGGAAAGAGTGAAACCTTAAATTAATGACATTCTGTACTGTTCAGAGTACAGGTTATCAAGCTGTCATATTTTAGATATAGACCTCGTCAACAAGTAGCTATGAAAAACCCTACATCTCTGACTTTTTACAGTGAATAGGGCTAAAGGCACGTCGGGAAATAAACATTTAAATGTGTTAAAATGTACATACCTTGTATCTTTTAAGTCTTTTTTTAGGAGAAACGAGTCCAAGCAGCTGCAGCCGAGGGCACTCTTTTATCATGATTCTTTTATGCTATTAAAATAGAACACCATTTTACTCCTTTATACATGTTTAGTCCCTCAAAATCAAGTCATTCATTAGATGAGCACCACCTTCTGTGCTTCTAAGCAATTAGAAAAGCTGCTCCGCTTTTGTTGGAATTACATGTTCTTGTTTCTTTTTAATTAAAAGTAAGTCCAAATATAATTCATATGTAGATTATTTTCTGTTTTTCAGTTGCCTGTTTTTTTTTTTTTCCCAGTTGGTCTGCCGTTTTTCATTCTTACGCCTAAACATGACCCCTTCAAGCGGGGTTTCTTCTGCAATGATGAGTCCATCAGATACCCCTTAAAGGAGGAAACCATACCCTACCAACTGCTTGGAGGAGTCATGATTCCCTTCACTCTCATAGTTGTAAGACAGATTTTAGATTCTAGATTCAAATCTGCCTACTTTTCCTGTTTTCTCTTTCAATATTTGCTTATTTTCTTCCATCCTAGCTCATCTGTGGTGAGTTTATGTCCGTTTACCTATCTCGCATCAAGAATCGCCCCTTGGGAAAGAAGTATTTGTTGTGCATCTACAAAACGCTGGGGAGTTGTTTGTTTGGAGCTACTGCCAGCCAGTCTCTGACTGACATCACCAAATACTCCATCGGCCGACTGCGCCCCCACTTCCTGGCTGTGTGCAAACCAGTGTGGGCTCAGATCAACTGTAAAACAGGAGAATATGTGGAGAACTTCACCTGCACTGGGGATGAGTTTGAGGTGGCCGAAGCCAGGTGAGGTTTCCCTTCAAACCTTATTTTATCTGATTCAATCAGATTCATAAAAATGCTGCGTTGGTTGAAAAACATCTTCAGGTTTTGAAGTTGTACATTTTTAAAATGGGTAGAAACCCTTAAAATCTAAAAAAGAAGAAGTTCTGCAGTGAAATAATTGGCTAGAAGACTTTCAAACATTAGGGGCGACTTCCTCTGCAGAACTAATTTGATTAAGAAATTTGATTTGCCTACTGCCAAATATGGAGCTGAAACTAAGGGACTCTGGTCCAGGTGGTAAAGGTTAATGAGAGCAGAGGGTGCAGCAGTAATAAAACCGTAGAGGAAGGAGGAGAAATAGTAAAGGTGTTTGGTTCAGGTGGGGTTTGAAAGCAAACACAAACAGATTATCAGTCAGAATCTCAAAAGCTTGAAATAAAAGTAATTCTACTCTAATCCAGCTATAATCTCTCTTTATCCTTTTAATATATATTGTTATTCTTCTGGTCATTTATACATTTAGAGCACAGGGCATAGGTGCTTAAGTGCATTGAATGAGTGGACCCAATTAGGCTGAAGTACAAATTTCATATTGCTTAACTTCAAATGCAATTGAAGCCTCTCATTCACATATGGCATAAATTAAGCATGAGCCTGGCGGCTTTCTTTTGTAATAGAAAAACAGGTAGAATGATTGTTGTATAATTATCCCCCCATATGTACAAACAACAAAACTAACACAATAAATATTTAATGTATGGAAGGACGATGTATGAATATGCATGGTGAAAATGTTGTTTGAACTTCAAAATGTGTATCTAAATAAGAGTGTAACCTTTGACCTTTTTCTCTCTCATAGATTGTCCTTTTCTTCCGGTCATTCTTCCTTCTCCATGTACTGCATGCTGTTCCTTGTTGTAAGTAAATATTTTAACATACACATCCATATTTTTGTAATGGAAACCATATAAATCTTAGATTTGGCTCAGAATACATTTAATAATCCTTGAGAATGATCAACATCAGATGAAGACAAGTGTTGCCTCGCTTAAGAGCTTCCACTTAAGCATAGGAGACTATTTAGGCAAATGCAAAATAGACTAGCTGTTTTCTAGCTTATTAAAGAGCCCCTGACTGCATGTGATGCTGACTATCTTCTATTTACTGGCTCTCTGCGGCTTAAGATTAGAATTTTAAATACCATTTTTTGGTTTCTGAATGAATAATGCCCATATATATTAGGATTTGTAATTGTTTTACCCACCTTAGACACTTGGGTGTCCTGGTTTAGGTCTACTCTGCATCCCCAGAATTAGATCCAAATATGGAGTTTTATTCAGTTGTTATGTTCTAACAATCTGGAACAAATTCTCTGAGAATGGCAGGAATGCTGATTGAATCATATTATGGGTGAAATCATGTACACAGCTGGCCCTGCCAGGGAAAACATTTCTGCACTGATACAGAGATAATGTACGCATTATCACTTCACTTCAAATCAGAGCTGAGCTGGAACTGCAGGGAACGTTTACATGTCAAGACAGGAAGGTGTCAGGTTTAACCTATTTTATTTTTATCTCGAAAGTATTCAAACACCCTTCAAAGAAAGACCATAAAAATGTCTTTTTGGAACACATGTACTGCAGATATTGAGCTAGTCTTTGTGCGATTGTACGTTCATCTTTCCTCTGATTGCTGCAGCTATACCTTCAAGCCAGAATGAGGTCAAAGTGGACACGGCTTCTACGTCCCTTGCTCCAGTTCTTCCTGACTGCCACTGCAATATACGTGGGTCTGACCCGAGTGTCTGACTACAAACACCACTGGAGTGATGTGGTCGCTGGCCTCCTGCAGGGGGGTTCGGTGGCTGTTTTCACTGTAAGTTTCCTGTCATTTGGTTAAAGAATCTTTTGACGACCGATCATCTCTGCACATCTGACTTTAGACGTCCTTGCCATAAGATTTTCCTTACATTTATGTTTTGCAAGAATAGAGTTAATGCACCTTCAAATACATAAGGTTAGGGTGAGTTTATTCTCACGTTGGATCTTGTACTAAATAACCATTTTTTCCCCCCACACTGATACATTTAAGTGTTTTGCTATAATATTGTTGTCTGAACAAAGGAGAGAAACTAAAAAACAAAGCATGCTAGTTTCAACATAACATTTGCGGTTCACCATAAAGCAATACATTCAGCGCATGTAGTACTGGAACACATCACAAATAAATGTCTTTCTGAGGGAGTAAATGACAGGAAGCTGCTACCAGTTCAATCCACATGCATTGAATTATAACTACACTTGTCCAAAGATTCTGTAATTTAATGAACTTATGTTGAAAATAATGGTTATATAAAAAAAAGGGGTGAACATGATATGAAAGATTAAAGCTACAGTGTGTAATAATTACAGGGATATACAGTCAGAAATGTAATATATTATACATAACTATGTTATTTATCATCATCTACGAGCTCAGCCTCTTAACCTTAATATTTGCGTTGCCTTAGAATTCGTTATTTATAATTACATAGGAGCGGGTCTCGCAGCCATGGAGGCAGACATCTTTGCGCTACGGCAGCGCAGAGCCAACAAACTAGCGATTGCGAGATCGCCTATTACGCTCGAAAGTAACTACGGCAAGTTGAGAGAGATGAACTGAGACGGTACTGAACAGTAGATGGCAGTATTAAAATTATGTATGTAAACAAACCTCATCACTTGAGAAGGTAGGTGATGCGGACGTCGTGGAAGACATTTTGTCCCGTAACACTCGCCGTACTGTTGGGGGGGAGAAGCGGTGGGGGGGAGATGTTCATGTTGCTGCGGTCTGCAGTCTGGACGTTAGATGTGGCTGAAAATTACACACTGTAGCTTTAAGACACCACCTGGAATATGTCAATAATCAGAAAAAATTCCACCCAGCACCATTCGGACCGTATTTCAGGAATGAGAACAAAATCATTGCCTAATAAACTTGGTCCAACCAGGTCTACCCTGCAGGACAAGGACAAGAAGGCAAACAACTATTTTCTCTGTTCAGGATAAATTTTCCTCAACAAATGCTTTTTGTAAGATGTGTTCCAGTCATGAAACATTGTTTAGTCTATGGACATCTAGAGTTTGACTTACTTGTATATGAGGACTCAGTGGGCCATTATAGATATCTTTTGAGATTTTTATGGCATTGGTATTTTATTAACTCTTGATATTTTCTATATTTGTTTAACTTCTTAATGCATCTAGAACGAAAACAAACAAAACTTCCCTCATCAATGCTCAGTAGTGGTTTTATTTTATACAGATCTAAAAAGCTTATCAATCTGTTCAGTAGTCCAAGCACATTTTCTCAAGTGACTGTTTGAGATGCATTTTTTCAGTCTACAGTTTTAACTTGAAAATGACAGTTCACTGGTGTCTTTCCAGATTAAAGAAAACATAAAAAACAAACAAAAAAACATGGGATCTTACTGTTGTAGTTTCAGCAATGTCATCTGGAGGTTTAGGTCTTTGACAGATTTGTGCAGATCCCTTTCCTCCTTTTCTGAGTTATATTTTAGTGCTTAATTTTGCCACAGGACTTCTTGTACCGCCTTTGGGAACACTGACTGCATACACAGCTGGATAGCTGTTTTGGTTAAAATACCCACATCAGGCTTTAACCCCTTAAAGCCTTAATCATTAAATCAATGTCAGAAAACTATTTTTTTAAACTTGATTTGTCAACATATCGACAAATGAAAACAAAATGAATTTTTGATTCATTTGTGATATATTAGGCATTTCTATGCTGTTTATTGTAGGTTTTCTCATCACTACACACGTTTGACTGTATGTCAGGTTTTTCAAGATCAAAAATATCGCACTGATGTTATGGTGATACAACATTATGCACTTGATGTAAAGGTTTAAAGTAGGCTGTTTGTTACTCTGAGGTAAAACATAAATGATGACCCAAACATTTCAATCACACAATTCCAACCATGTGCAAACAATAGGGAATTAAAAAGTTGATTTACTCACAACGGATTCATCATGTGAAAGAATCATTTAGAAGCGTGAAAGGATTGTGAACAGGTATCCGAGGATAGATCCTTGTGGAATACCTTTAGATGGGTTAATACAAGCGTTCCTTATGTGGAGTCCGGCTTTGGACTTGGCACAATTAAATTGGTAGCATTAGAGTCTAATAATCTGCTCTGTTACGTCTACCAGATCAGTGTTTCACAGATTATTTTTTAAAGTTTTATTAAGTTCTTATTCTCTCAATATTCAACTTAGTTAAATAGCAATAAGAACCAGTTAAAGGAAATGGGCTATACAATGAATAATTCTGAAAAATAACATGCATATATACATTTATGAGGATCTTAATCCATTAATTATTAAAATGAATCAATGGATCCATATTTACATGAGTAAAAAAATATTTGGCTGTGAGTATATAAAACAAAGAAGAGATCTTTTAACCAATAAAGTTTTTTTCCTTTTTTATACTGTAATCTATTCTCTCCCAAACCACATTTCTGTTTTTTAAATCGGCTGAATTAGAATTGTAAGAAACTCATTTATTTTAACAAAATTTTTTAAATCTTTTGATAGTTTGGTTCTGCTGACACTAAGGAAACAAGGTGCATTTAAACTGATAACACTAATGAAGGTTATGGTTTTGGTTCTTTCTGTTTATGTCTTTCATTTTTAAAGATTAATTCAATGAGATTATGGTCTACCTAGATATTTTTTATGCATTCAAATTGCATTCTGAGCTACAGTGCTTAATGTTTGATATATGCCTCATTCTGTCTACTGCAGGTGTTCTGCGTCTCCAACTTCTTCTCTCAGCCAGTGGAACCAGTAGTTTCGCAAGAGGAAGAGGCCTCTCACACCAGTTTACAGGATAACCCCAGCAATGGTAACCACTACGGCAGCACTGAATGACTTTGGTGCCTCAAAGACGTTTCTCTGCTCAGCCTCTAGTGCAAAAGGAACTCAAAGTGGACCTAAACCCATGAATAAACAGCACGTCTTCTAAATTGCCTGCTGCGCGTTGGGAAGAATGTCCTCTGCCAGCTTTGATTACATGGTGCCATTCTTTGCAGCACGAAGGCTTTAGCTGCTACCTGGTGTAGCTTCAACTACAGAGACAAATGATCTGCGCTGTTTACTTGTAGCAAATACTTGTCTGATTTGCCTCCTTGAATGAATATTCCTTTTTTTTTTTTAAAGATAATGAGCCTCTGTATCCATGCTGCAAGCTGGCTTGTAGAGGTTTGGTTGTACCTTTGCTTAAGGAAACTGGGAATGTCTTATAAACAAGGTCTGAGATTTTAAAAATAATATATTTTATATTGATTTTTGCCTTAGATCTATGCTGCTGCCTGATGTCAGCTTCTTCCCAGATGTAATTGTATATGTAAAATACAATCTTATTTTGTTTGTTTTTTTGCCAGGCAGTGAGTCTGAAAGTGCTGATATGTTGTTTTTTTTCCCCCTGAATTTTTAAAATATATTGTTATGACAAACAAGAACATTATGTATTTTTGTCTGGAAAATACAAATCAGATGGTGTTGAAGCAGTAGATTTCTGAAAATGTACCACAGTAAACACTTCATGAGGCAGATTTACAATTCAAGTAGGTAAGGAAGTAACAAGCATGCAATCTTTTAAGTGCCTTTACCAAGTTATAATTAGAGGATTTTGCAAAAAAAAAAAACAGGCTTTATATTTTCTTATATTGCTTATTTTCTCTGATTACTGTTACAGTAGTGCCTATTTGGGAAGCAGAGGTAAAATGACCATCATTTAAAACCTTTTATAAAGAAAGACCTGATGTGGGATGTATTAATAGTGAACTCTACATAATCAAGTACAGTTACTTTTCAAAGGCACCTGGTTAGTTAATAATTTTTATTGTTGGATTATACCGAACATGCCCGCCCTGTGAGGATGCATGGTAAGGGCAGCATCATCCTGTGGTAAAGCTTTTTTTTAAGCAAGGACAAACAAGTCAGTAGGTCTTTGGAGGCTGGTAAACACTTGAGACCAGGGTTATGATTTAGCTCCCAGCGTAGAAGCAATAGAGTTATACCCATATAATAAAATGGCGAAGTCAAAGTCTAGACTCAGATCTGATTAGGGATTTGAGGTTAAGCCTCAGAATAGCTCTCATTCAGTTTCACACTTGTCTGGATGGATTATCTATGAGGTTGATTCCTGTTTGTGAAAAGAAAGGGAAACTAAAGCTTTTGGGTCCCATTAAAATGTTTAATTTCTGTTCATCTGTTGAATTAATAAACCAATAAAATATATGAAACATATTTATGGTTCAACAATGGTTAACATGTCAAACTGGAAGAAAAAAAAGTTCAAGGGATGTTATATAAAGAGCTACTACAGAACTAGAACTGTACACAGAATTTAACTGCTGCTTTGTCATTGCATAATGAGAAACTAATAGTTTCAACTGAGCTTGTGCAAATACAAAAAAATGAGTGATATTATTTTGTGTTTATGAATTCTTTTAAATTTGCAATAGCAAACAAAAAGCCTTTAAGTAGAATTACAATGCTAAACCCTTGTGGTTATTCATAACACTGGTCTTGATCAATGTTTCTTCAAGTTACCTTTAGTGTAACATTTTCCTGCACTAATTTTCAGTCCTTCATAATATTTGCATGTTTAGTCTTAAGACTTTAAAAATATAAACAAGTTAACATTTAGAAAAAAAAACAAATTTGTTGGTAATGCCTTATTTTTATTTTGGTCATATGGGCGACATTCCACAGGTTGGAACAAAAAACACCAATAGAAGTAAGAAAATATAACTAATCTGTCATTTGAGCCTTATTGGGTTTTGGAGAGTTGCAGCTCCCTGCTTCCTGCTGAGAGTATGAAGACTATTTTTATCTTGGTGCAACTGAATTTTATTTTATCCCGCCCCAGAATTTAATATATTTCATTCATTTTGACTTGATTAAGAAGACAGCAGGGGAAGCAGCTTTACTGGGGTATCATTCATGCGAAAACTACTGGTTGCCTTGCTAGAAAATACATTAGAAATACTGCAGAGTTTAGACAGGATCCAAGAAATGTTGACATGCCTTCAGTTAGTAACCTTTTGCACTCACCTTTTTGCTAATAGTCTGTCAGATCGTTACTTTATCTATTTTCTCAGGTTGGATTTTTACATGGATGTGTTGTGCAACTTATGGCTCTTTAAAGAATGAACTAATGAGCTATAAATATAAAAATATAATCTAATAATTAGATTATTCCACCAGAATAATCTAATTATTCTGGTGGAAATTTTGATTGAAAATAGCCCAGAATCCCGCAGCCGCCTCTTCACTGTAGATGTTGACACTGGTGTTTTGCGGGTACTATTTATTGAAGATGCCAGTTGGGGACCTGTGAGGCGTCTGTTTCTCAAACTAGAGACTCTAATGTACTCATCTGTTTGCTCACTTGTGCAACGCAGCCTCCCACTTCTTTTTCTACTCTGGTTAGAGCCTGTTTGTGCTGTCCTCTGAAGGGAGTAGTACACACCATTGTAGGAATCTTCAATTTCTTAGCAATTTCTCGCATGGAATGGCCTTCATTTCTAAGAACAAGAATAGACTGTCGAGTTTCAGATGAAAGCTCTCTTTTTCTGGCCATTTTCAGCATTTAATTGACCCAACAAATGTGAGGCTCCAGAAACTCAATCTGCTAAAAGGAAGCTCAGTTTTGTAGCTTCTGTAATGAGCTAAACTGTTTTCAGATGTGTGAACATGATTGCACAAGTGTTTTCTAATCATCAATTAGCCTTCTGAGCCCATGAGCAAACACTTCGTACCTTTAGAACACTGGAGTCATAGTTGCTGGAAATGGGCCTCTATACACCTATGTAGATATTGCACAAAAAACCAGACATTTGCAGCTAGAAAAGTCATTTACCACATTAGCAATGTATAGAGTGTATTTCTTTAAAGTTAAGACAAGTTTAAAGTTATCTTCATTGAAAAGTACAGTGCTTTTCCTTCAAAAATAAGGACACTTCAATGTGACCCCAAACTTTGAACGGTAGTGTGTATATATATATATATATATATATATATATATATATATATATAAATTTATATTGTTTTCTGTTGAAAGGAACCCTTAGAGATTATCAGCAATTATCCCTTCAAAATGTGCCTTACCTCTGAAAATCTACCAGTATCTGCTGAGCTGTCGTTGTTTGTTATTGTCTTGTCTTTCAGCAGCACAGAGCTTTCTCTGTCAGGCTAAAACCAACAATAGTCCTCAGTAAGAGCAGCTCCACTATGTCACATGTCTGACTTTAGCTCACGAGGGAGGCGACCATGATGTTGGAGGACTTGAGCTTCACAACACAGTTTTGTTCTTATTTACTTCCCAAGTTTCAGATGAACACAGAGAGAACAGTGTGTTCTTTTCTAAAAGGCTGCATAGACAGTTTAAGAGGAGACAGAAAGGAAGTGAGAATATATATAGTTGTTTTTTAAAGTTTACAAACTAGTCTGTTAAAGACACAAAATCTGTCTGCCAGTAAAATAAATTGAAAGCGGCAAAAGTAATAACATATAAAAATGATTCCTGTAATGTTCAAAATACTTAAAACCTGTTGACAAGTTTATTGGGAGCCAGGTACTTTAATTTCTTTAGGACAGTTTTTTTTTTTTTTTTGAATACTTCTTTAAACACTTTAAATACTACTTCAAAATCAATATTTTGTTTTACTAAATAATTATCAAATGTTTGTTACTTTTTCAGTTTCGTATTATTTGACTTACCGGTGTGAATGGATCCTTACCTTTAATTGGAGGGCATGTAAACTTTCAAGCACAACCATAGGTTGGTTTGATGAGAATAGGCAAAGCTTTAGATAAGTGATGTCTGCTGCCCTCTGAATGATTCTGCACAGCCCGTGAAAATTCAGGTTCACATTATTTTACGAAATTATTTTTGGGTTAAGTTTTCAAATAAAACCATTTAAAAATGAAAAAGTGCAAAAAACAAAATAAAGTGAACCAAAAAAAAAAAAAATATATATTTTTTTTTTCTTTCACAAGGCATTCATCTTAATCCAAGTAGAACAGCAGACATCTAGATACTTTTGTTCTAAAGCAGATTTGGCTGCCTTTGCTCTCCTCTTCTATATATATACTATATATTAACTATATATATATATATATATATATAGTTACTCCATGTCCAATATTTATAACTGAGCTAAGAATGAAAATCTACTTTTAAACTTAAGTAATTAACCCAAAGAAATGTAAACCTGTATCTCTGACATAACACAATAATCAGACACATTTGTATTCACAAAGGTTTAACAATAACTTTTCTATAAAAATATTTAGTTTGGTTTATTATTCAGTAGTTAAAAGAATGGAAATATTTTATTTTTGCTTTCAACAGTATGATTCCAGCCTAGCTGACAAAATCTATTGGAAACATTTGGACATAAAATCCCCCCCAAGAACTCCAACACGTTTTTCATACGATTAAAATTCTACAGAAAAAAAAATACAAGAAAATAGAAAAATAAAAAATAAAACATGAAGTCAACTTTATCTTAAGCATTTAATGTGTCGTATCTTTAAATGGACAAAAACACAAGTCCACCTCAGAGGACCGAATATAAAGCAGCAGCTGCACATTTGTTGGCTTTGCAGACCCAGTCTGAATGGATACATTCATTACAAATTCTGTCCCAATTACCCAAGAGTCTCAGTAAAGCTTAAAGCAAATGAGGACAGTTTGTCTCCTAGCAGTTTTTGTCTACTTGTCTGGTGGCCATCTGTTTCTGGAAACCATGTCTGATGCATTTAAAACTGAACTTTAGTACTTTGATATGATTGTTTTAGTCAGCAATACCCTTTTCAAATCCTCCCATTCTTCTTAAATACAAGACATTCTCAGTTCTGGCAGTATCTAACTTGTCCACCCATCCAAGTTCATCTTCAGATAGTGCTGAAACCCTTGTGTCCCAGAGTACGCCCTGTTCAGGAACAGACAAAACCATACAATCATACCTCAATGATACTAAGAGACCACTTAAACTCATTTTTATGACTGAGAAAGCTGAACCAATTCCTGGGATGGAACTCAAGCTCAGGAGCTTTGTACTCCAAAGCAACACCACTACTAAATGTGCTGCCCTCTAGGACTATATATACACACACACCCCAAGGAATATAACAGCTACAGTTTATGCAAATTGCCAGAAAAAAAAAAAGATTAGTTGCAAAGTTAAAAAGTTGCAAGTATTGATAGCTTTTCAAATCCATATGCAAAGATATGACAAAGTAGAGCTTTCAGTTTGACCAAGTTCTGAAAAAGGCTTTTAAAACGATAAAAGAAAGCCAATAAATATTCAATGTAGTCTGAAAATAAGACAGGACAATATTTTGTCACAGCATTTATTACTAGTATACCAAACATTTTTACCCTTTCATTCGACCCACAGAACATGGGTTTACAGCTCAATCCTTAGAAAACCAGTGAAGGACAGGTTCAGCAAAGTCTAATGCAAGCCCTCTCATCTGGTCTATTTAAATATGATCTAACAACTTCTTACAGTCAATATGTTTAATGAATGTGGAGCACCAGAAACAAATATTCAGAATCACATCTGATGACTTGTTGGCTGGTCTGCCTTAACTCAAATATGCTGCAGTCAAGCACATAACCAAAGTTACACAGCACAGCAGGGGGGTTTGGAAAATTTTATTTGGAGAAATCTGTACATGGAGGTTTTGGCCTTCAGTGTGTTCACATGTATAAGCATTATGAAGGACACAGACAAGTAGCTCACTGAGGATCAGAAGAAGTGCAACCCATTACTCAAAACTGGACAGGAAGTTCAATACAATCTGCTTCAGTTTAGCATCTGATGCCTCTGAGATCTTGCCATCAGCCCTGAAAGGACAAAATAATGTTAGATCAAATATTTTAAATAGACTTTAAAGATTAAAAAAAAATATTATAATTTACTTGATTGCAGCCAGCAGGTCCTGTTGCTGGCTAAGGATGTGCTGCAGGAAAGCCTTCTCAAACTTTGTGATCTTGCTGGGCTCCATCTTGTCCAGGTGTCCTCTGACTCCAGCATAGATGACTGCTACCTGCTCCTCAATGGCCATGGGACCTACAGGAGAAGGGCCACACACTTCAGTACACAAGAACTTCATCTCTAAAGGACTGGGTTTGTGTTAAAAATTAGCACCTAATCCCACCAGTAGTAGATTAACTGTTGGAATAAATCCAGATTAGACCTTGCAGCTGATCCTAATGGTTGGCCAAAGAG